AGGGATTGATCAACGGCAAATGCTTTATCCTTTTTTTATCATTCCTGTTACTCATACTCGGATTTTTACGATTTATCTAAAAAGCCTCAAGGATTTTCCTGGCACCGAGGTAGGTTATTATCGTGCATTTAACGTCGAAGTCACAACCACCATGATTTTCCCTTCTTGCCAAGCGGTGCAACCAAATTTTCCCTTCGTTTACTAGCCAGATGTTCTTTTATACGTACACCTAACTGTCTCCCAGTTTCTCCAATGTACAAGGCGTTACATGTTGAACACTGAAGCTGGTAAACCACAGATCTTTGTGCACAGTCTCCTACCTTTTCCATACGGGCAGATCACGCAGTTATCCATAATGCGATCCATGTCATAGAGACGACTTCTGACCACTTGGTGGGTGCGCGGTGAACCCGCCCTCTTCGGAGGCGTTGGGCCCCTTCCAACGCCTTTCAAATGTAAGTTTTCAAATCAGTAACATTTCCTACACATTTGCTTGAATAGGGCTAGTGCACAAAAACTGATAAGAGAACGCAAGTGTCGCGAAATTCATAATGCACGGCCCAGCAGCAGTAAGGTATTCCTTCATAGATATAATGTAAGGAAGCGGGACGGAAACTTATTTTGTGGAGTGAAGCGAGATAACAGCTGATGAGGACTGATAAGAGCGATTAGCTCGAAAACGGAGAATTCACTAAATTTGCAGATGCGCGATGAGGAAACACTTCATTCTACTTGCGAAGTCGTCGTCGACACCTTTCGAGCGCTAATTTGCTCGAGTTCGAAATTCCCGGTGTCAGGCGATGATCAGTGGTGTTTTTATTCCCATGTCACTGGTATAGGGAGCTGTTCAACTGCTGAACCACTACAACATCCTAGGCAGGCAGGTATTGTTTGCGCTGAGGGCTAATATTAGGGTGGTAAAAAAGTCCTGAGCCGTTTGACACTTTTTTGTTCTTTGCTTTTTTATTCCGCGTACAATGGAATCTACTCAACAATATAATCACCATTGTTACTCACTACAGAGTCCCACCTAATGGGCAGGTCAGCGACCCCTTCTCCCAGAACTGAGCAGACTGAGAGTCAAAGAAATCGCTGACCGCTCCTTCAACGTCTTCAACTTTGGTGAATTTTTTCTTCGCTAGGAATGCCCTAAGGGGATGAAATAAGTGATAATCAGAGAGGCAATGTCAGGGGAATAGGGGTGGGTGGGGAACCGCGTCCCAGATCAGCTCTTCCAATTCTGCACGGGTCTCTTTAGCTATGTGGGGCCTGGCGTCATCGTGGAGTAGGTGGACAGAAGTTCGTCTCGGTCGTTTTTCTTGAACAGCGTCCGCTAGTTTCTGGAGCTGACTGGCGTAAATGCTGCCGGTAGCGGTATGTCTTTGCGGGAGCATCTCATAATACAACATTCCTCACGAATCCGCAGAGGTAGCAAAGAAGAAAGCTTTTGGGGTGAAGGTCCGATTTTGCTTGTGTCGGCGGGTCTTCTCCTCGAGGGAGCCACACGGCACTGTGCTTGTTAGAATCGTAGAGGACCCCACTCTCATCTCTCGTAATCATGCCTTCCAAAACGCCTTTCGGTGCGGACAAAGAAGGAGAAACTGACAAATGGGTACCCGATTGAACCGCGTGCTATCGGTCAAGACATGAGGGATTCATCGAGTCGGCACTTTCCTGTGGCGAGGGCGTGGAGGGGACCGAGGACTGTGGGATGGGTGCACCCGAGTCTTGTCACAAGGCTGCGGGTGCTAACCCTCCGGATCCTCTTCGACAGCGCCGAGAACGGTGGAGTCTTCCACTGTTTGGGGCTCCCAACCTTGACTTTCTTTGGAAGCCGTGTCTCCTCCTTCGAAGCCTGCGAACCAGAGCTTGGCACTGATGATGGAAGTGGTGTCCCTTCCCAATGCGATGCTGATAATGTTGACGGTTCCCACTGCTCCTGTGCCGCAGCGCCATTCATTGAAGATGATCGCTCGAAAGTGCTCTTGTGGAATCGACGTCACGATTAAACGTTAAAGAAGGCAACCCGGCTACAGATACCTACTGCGGAGAAGTATGATCGACAGCGATAATCTATCACGTAGCAGATTCTAGGTATCAGTCAATAAGCGAAAGTTCTAGAGCTTTCAAAAAATCGGCTCAGGACTTTCTTACCATCCTAATAGTATGCTATGGAATTGATTTTTGCTCATTCCAAGGCCTAGTGGACCGCTAGACCGTGTTACTTTCCGGAAAATGATGCATGTTTATGGGCATAGATCTATGAGAAGTTGCAGCATTATTACCAGCACTCTAATAGGAGATAAGCCGTTTGGACGGAGCGAGCACCCGAAGTAAGGCGTAAATTACGACGTTCCTGCCTTGCGTTCGCATCGATGCGCTTTCTGCGGTAACCATTCCGAAGGTAATGCCAACAACGAGGCTACCCCTGCGGTCCAGGGCAGCAACCCAAAATGGTCGAGCGTCGCAGCGTACGCTCCGCTGAGCCTGAGCGCGCGCGCGCGAGCGTGTGTCCTTCGTCGACCTCCTATATGAACGGCGCTCAGTAACATGGCAAAGGTTTGCGCGACTTCGAAGTTTCTGCAGTTTCTGTCTTCGTTGAGAGAGACGGGACGAGCCACACGATTCACGTGTTAATGCGCATTGTTCGTGACTACAGCAGAACAATGTAATTCACGCCTTACTCCGGGTGCTCACTCCGTCCAAACGGCTTATCTCCTCTGATAGCCACTTGCTTAACTAACATCATTCATAGTGCTGAATGAGGGGTATTGGCTTTAATACAGTGCATCCGGCCATGCTCAATTCAGCTGGAGATCTATTGATTTACGTTGTTGACATGCGCGCAGAGTTAAACCTGTTGCAATTGTATTACGTCCACCTTGAGCGGTAACCATATTTTCTGCTATTTTTTTGTGGACACTTGTAAGAGCGTTTTGCAACCGCATGCGAATGCACCAGAAGGTGATTCACTTACAGATTTGGGATCTTCCCTTACTTAGCGTTACCAAGCTTTTCCCAATTTTGGTTCGCTGCAGGTTGCCCCCACTGCAGCACTTAGATGTGAGAGCAAGCGTTGCGTACGATGTGCAATAAAATGCGTGGTGGTTAAGCAGTGCTACCAAACTCACAAGCTATCGATTGCAATCATTCGCTTTTACCACCGTTTACATATGTGTCATCTAAGTGTCCTTACCAACATCCCTCATATGATAGGATTTTTATTAGCCAGAAACATTGCGTGTGTGTTTTTTTCATGTGTACATTGCATTTATGTCATCCAATACGCTCGCAAAATGCCCCTTCTTTTGTGACCATAAAGTGTTGTAGTCGCATATGCAACAAAATGGACAGAGGTGGGAAGAGAGCAACGAGAGCAATCGCCAATAAACCTGTGCAGATCAGTGCGAGTATCTATACTAACGCAAATTATGTATTACAAAGAATGCTCTCTAACTTGTGAGAACATGGCTTTTGTAATTACGTCATCCTTTTGCTAACCTCTGGGTCCAGTGGAAGTTCCAAGGCTGCTCGAGACAAAACTTGAACATTAAATGTAATGAACTTTATTCGATGATAATTCAATACTTAAACTGAATTTATGATACAATCTCCTTCTCCCCAAACAAAAACGTTGACAGCTCCGCATCTTGCAATATGATTTATCGAACGGAAACGGCGCCCACCCCTCCTATTTGACCGGAGCACCTCTTTTGCTTTATATTTGGCTCCCAAACAGATGACGGCGCAAGAAAGCCCTGAAACATATGTTACTATATAGTTAACACAAGCGTTTAAAGCGGCGCCCTATAGTTTTCGGCCACCCTGTACACTGGTCTGCAAATTAAGTACGAAAGTAATTTTTTTTTTGCAATGATTATTTCACGACTACACCATCTACTGTCCCTGAGATTTGGAGCATACACGGAAAGGACTGCTACAGTACATCTCAAGGGGTCACTGGTAGAAACAGTGAAGGTACAGAGATGGAACTTTTCTTCGGAGACAGTGATCAATGGGTGAATAATCCAAATTTATTGTGAGCCTAAAGACAGGACATAGTTCTTAATAGGGTGTGCAAACACTTTCAGTACATGCTCTGCTCACAAATTGGGCGCGAGACTGGTGAGGAGTTCTTGTATAAAGTGTTCCATTCTTTGAGCACTGCGATTGACAGTTGCTGGCCAATTATTGACGCATGTGAGTCTGTTGCAATAGCTCTCCCAAATACATTTTACGGGTGCTCGATTTGAGTGGAAGATTTCGGCAGGCTTAATTACCGAATATCCTCTCAATCCAAGAGTTGTCCATCTGAGCTGTTCGATGCGCGCACATTGTCCTCTACGCGTAAGAAGTTGGGGTAAACGCACTTTTAAAGAAATGGGCTTGAGATAGGACTGTAGCGCTAAAAAAAAACGTTGACCGGAAGTTGTGCCGTTGACACGAGTGTGGGGACGGGATCTTGCTAATTGCTAGCACAGTGCCAATGCCTCGGCATCTAGCAAATGTTCTCGCCGATGCGTGGATTCTAATAGAACACCAAGCACTGCTTGCCTGGCGACTAACGTAGATCCATTCTTATCTCTTACAAAATGTAGCGGTCACCTGCTGTTGCGATTGGTCGTGGTCCTGCACCTCCTCTTTTTGAGCCAGCAAGTTCATACTCCTCATGCACGTAATGCAAGGTTCTGAGCAATACCTACCGAGCAATACTTCTCGCTAATTGATGCACTTCATCTTTTCCTGTTCTATCGACTCCCTTATATGTATGGTCTCCTTTGGCTCCATACTGAGGCGGGCCGCACGAATGAAAGCCAGTACACCATGCATGATTGAAAGACCGCGGGCATCATTTTCTCACAGTTTCATCCAATTCAATCAAGTTATTAATAATATGTATTATTTTATCCACCTCGTCCCTAATCGTAAGTGTAGTAATACCAGTGTATTACTACACATGTAATCAAAACATTGTGCACCATGTTCCGCTCACCTTAAGTTCAAACCAGCCATCTTGAGTCTCCTCTGCAATCCATGAGTAATTGCACCATCCAATATCCGACACCGTATTTATTATAGGATTGGTACTCGGGAGCATCTGGATCATTATTTACTGTGTATACCATTGGAGTACCCTCAGGTTGCGCGCCGCCATATGTACCTAAAGTTTGAAAATTCCATCAAAAACTATATTACGGCCGTAGTAGTGTTACAACGTTGCAGCACTAAATTGGTGCTCTAAGACATATATACTATATGTATAGAATGCCCAGCACAATGAAACTTCCATTTACAAGCTTTCTACATGATGCCTAAAATATGCCATGTTCTGAAAAAGGGTCTAGAGAGGAAGTGTGATACATATAAGCACAATTCTGAATATCAGCACAAAGCCCCAGTTTGAAGAAGCAACAATTTTCTATTTTCACATTTTTGATGATGCTTGCACTGATGCCCGCAAATTCAGAATTCCAGCACGTGCTCCTCCGCTCATTTCAGTTTCACGAGTTGAAGTTTCGCGCTTCTTATCCTTAAGACTCCTTTGGATTATGGCGAGAGCAAAAACGCTGTCTGGCTTCCAAAACGGGAAAGTCCTAGCTAGAGATTAGAGAATTGTGAAAGTGTCAGTTCACGTATGTTGTCGGATTATTTTGCAATTTCGGAAGTGAAATCGAAGAGCATATTGTCTTACATCTCTGGATTTTCACTCAAGAGGGTTAGGCTGCTTCCGGTCATTTCCAGCATAT